CCCCCCCCCAACCCAATATGTTTCCTCCTCCAGACAAAGTTGACCTTGACTCTAATGACTTCATTGCAGGGATGAGTACAAAGAATTTGAGAAGTTAATCCAAGAAGACTTAAAAGAGGTTGACAACCGTTTAGAAGAAGAAGAGGTCATCTTTTATTACAAAATAGTTGTTGAGCCATCTGTGAATTTTTTATCTTATTAACCCATTTATCGACCCACTTTGCCATTTATATTGCAGGTTGATGCTGCAGAAATGATTGAAGAGGAAGTAGCTGTTGAACAGAGGTCAGTTTCTCAAATGACGAAATGATTTTCTCCTTTTTGAAAATTTTGCTATATTTTGTTTACATGGTCCAAAGTTAATAAACTTTTATCTTGCATGACTTCAGGGGCTATCGGGAAAGACTGGAGATGTTGAGGAGGAAGAAGATGGAACTTAAGGCTGCTAATTCTTCGTTAGGCAGCAAAGAAAATAAGGTTGTAGATAAGGAGTCCAGTGATGATGAATCATCAAGTGATGGTGACAGTGATGAGAATCTTACCGTGGACTGGAGGGCTAAACATTTGTGAAGGTGCTTCTGCTGGTAGGACACATTCTCTCTAGTCTCTCCCTCACCGTCATATTCTGACCGTGTGTCTCTGGAGTAGTTTGGTTGCTCCCATGCTAAATATTTGTCCTTTTGACTGTAGGTAACAAGGTTTTCTGAATCACTTGTTCCTTGAACTGAAGATTTTTTGGTTCAACACAGTGAATGCAGGATGAGCATTGAGTTTCTGTGCTGCAATTTCCATGAGCTGATATGGAACTATGACTTTTTCTTTGACCTGCAAACTAGGATTTTGCCTGCTCCTGCAAGTAAATAGGAACAATGAACCAAATTCATTTGGGTACTCTGTTGTCAAAGAGTAATGCGGTTGTTGAGAAAAGAGCTGTACTTAGGTTACATTTAGGCTTGAGTAATGAACTTGAGGCAACTCCTTTTGAAGATGGACATAGTTAAAGTTGGCACCAGAGTTGTCCTTTTGGATGCCACTGTGCTAAACAAGCCGAGAATGGAACAGAAAAGTATAGTCATGCTGTGTTGTGAAAGAAATTTTCTGTACTCTGTTATAGGGTTTCTTAAATTGTGCCTGCAAGTTACTGTCATTGTTATGCAATGGTGAAGCGGTAGCCAAAAAATTTGCAGCCCAAAGATTAGAACTAGTAATTATTCAATCAGCTAATACTAAAGGGCTTGCTCTTTTAGTTTTAGACAGTTTGGTAATATGTTTATATCATTTAGGTTGTGTTTAATCATGAACTAATTCCTGTTCGAATTTAAGCTTTGGTCAAACGAATTAAATTCGGATTATTTGAGTCTTGGTGCTAACAATTTGAACAATATTACGTGTTTTAACTGGGTACAGGTGCAGTACGTTAATTTGACTTGTATAATATATTGATGATAGAAGTAGAAAACATTAAAGTGGTCAAAAAGTTAATATATTGAAAAACATCACATTGAGGTTTGCATTTTGGATAGTTTAGTGAATTTGCTTTCTTAATTGTTTAAAAAATCTGTAGAATTTTTAGGATCATAGAAAAAGGACGATTCTCACACTAAAGGATAGGATATTATGTAGTCTAGCTAGAATTTCTGCTCATTAGAGGTTGTATTTTATAGTTATGTATGCTTGATTTTACATCAAAAGATGCATGATATATGTTTGTGCATAAACTTTTATCATTTAATTATAGTTAACTTACATATATGTTCTTACCTCATGAAATTACTTAACCATAAGTTAATATAATTTGAGGTAAGTATTAGATGCGAATAAGTGTTTAGCATAAAAAAGATTATGGTTTAATAATACCACATACTCTATAGTCTATATTACGGCGTCCGAAGGATAAGTGGTCTTTTTCTGAATACGTTATTGGGAAATCCACATGAAACAAAAAAAAGAAATTTTCAACTAAAGGCCACTTTGTGTTATTCCATTTTGGTTCAAATTTTTTTTCTTTTTCTCCTAATACATTGCTATGGTGATGGACGTACAGACGCGCCACATCCAAGGGAGGTGTCGTGGTGCATGCTAATTGTAGATGATATTGTACTGATCGATGAGACGCGAGACGGTGTGAACGCGCAATTAGAGGTATGGAGGCAGACCCTAGAATCTAAAGGTTTCAAGTTAAGCAGGACTAAGACAGAATATTTGGAATGTAAGTTCAGTGGCGAGACTCAAGGAGAGGAAGGGGAGGTGAGGCTGGACTCGCAGGTCATCTCTAAGAGATGAAGTTTTAAGTAACTTGGGTCTATTATTCAGGGGGGTGGGAAGAATGATGGAGATGTCACACATCGTATTGGGGCGTGATAGATGAAATTGAGACTCGTTTCCGGTATTTTGTACGACAAGAAGGTTCCGCCGAAACTTAAGGGTAAGTTCTATAGAGTGGTGGCTAGACCAACGATGTTGTATGGGGCTGAGTGTTGGCCAACCAAGATCGTTCATGTCCAGAAGATGAAGGTACCAGAGATGAGGTTGAGATGGATGTGCGGGCACACCAGGTTAGATAAGATCAAAAATGAGGTTATTAGCGACAAGGTGAGTCTGGCCCCTATTGAGGACAAGATGGGGGAAGCGCGGCTTAGGTGGTTTGGTCATGTGAGGAGGAGGAGCACAAACGCACCGGTGATGAGGTGTGAGAGGTTGATATTTGGAGGGCTTACAGAGAGGTAGAGGTAGGCCAAAGAAGAGGTGGGGAGAGGTGATTAGGCAAGATATGGTGCAGCTTCAGCTGACCGAGGACATGACCCTTGATAGGAAGATATGGAGGTCATGCATTAGGGTAGTAGAGTAGGTAGTATAGAGTGTTCATAACAGTAGTATTGACACGTAGTCTCGCTTTATATTGGTAGCAGGTTTTTATGACTAACCATTGTTTTCTTTCATTGTTGATCACCTTATTGTCTTGTTTTTATTTTGCTTTTATATAGCTTTTTTGTACTGTCTCTTCTTCTCTATATTTTCATTAATATGGTACTTATTGTCACACCTCCTTTTTCCACCACCGCGAGGGGTGAAGGAGTTTTCTCCAATTGAAGGACAGTCGGAACGGGATTTGCTTATTTATTTCAGAGTCGCCACCTGGGAATTTTATGGCGTCCCAAGTCACTAGTTTTAATCCCGAATCGAGGAGAATATGACTCTGTTTGTCATTCTGCTTACCAGAAATCTGAGTAAGGAATTCTGTTAATACGGGAGAAGGTGTTAGGCATTCCCGAATCTCGTGGTTCTAGCACGGTCGCTTAACAGTTTTTATACTTGGCTTAATTATCTCTAGATACATTTTTTCCTGTTGCCTGATTTTATTACCGCTTTTGTTTAGATTGTTTATACTTATAGACTTTTCTTGAAACGAATCACGCGTATGTATATTCGTATTATATTTTTTCTAAATGTAAAGAATCGTGTCACGCATACGTGTACACAATAAGATTGATAATATATATTTTTTTTATTTTTTATTTTTATAAAAAAACTTATGTTCGAAATTATGCTTAAAATAAAATTAAGAACATTCGTCACTCTTGTATGATCAAATAGTGAACTGCACATCTCGGGTTATATGAAATTAATTTAAGATTCTCCGAAGAACCCCTTTTTATTAAAAGTTTGCTCGAAGTTGCGCGAACGCATAATCCGAATTGCTTTTAGAAAATGTAATTAGGTCACGCGAACGTATCCCTAGTTTCACAAAAATATTCTTGATGGTAGTATAAAATTTCTTCAAGTGTTTATTATATCCCCCTATTCTTAAATATGAAAGTCATGAGAAATCACTGATTTGGACGCCTCCAAATTTCTTGAAAAGAATTCAAAATTTATTAGGTGTTGACCGCAAGTTATATTTTACGCGTATGAATTATATACCTCAAAACTATTTAAATTTAAAGAATTAATGATATGAAAAACAAACAACGTGTAACTAAAACTACCATTTTTATTGTGAATACAATATTCGTATACCCAAAAAGCGAATTACGTGCAAAACTAGGAAAAGAATTAATTTGATAAACAAACTAATAGTTTTCGAAGAATTTTCATTGTTATATTTAGAGCGAACTCTATTTTTGTATATCTATGACTTCAATGTTGCATTTTAGTATTTACAAATCCAACCTTTTACACAACTAGTTTTTAGTCCAAAGGTCAAATTATTTGGTTAATTTGCCTACAATGATTGAATTTGGGATAGATAAACTAAACCAATTTTCTTTATCTCGGCTTATACAAGCTATTCACAAATACTAAATCTACACTTTATAAAAAAAATTGTTGCATTATTTTATATACTATTTTTAAGAAAATGAATTGATCGCATTCCTAAAATAAATGGTCCATTTGTTGTTAAGGAAAAAAAACTAATTTACAAATTGATTTAATAAAATGACATTACATGTAACGTAGGTATACAATCTGAACCATTCATAATATTCCAACATCGTAAACGTAACGAATTATATCAATTCACCTCTCACCATGGTTATGCACATAACCGTTACCACGCAATGTACGAACAAAATACAACTTTCATCATCTAGCTTTAAACAAAATCGAATATTGGATGAGATATGCTAGTAATGTAGTTTCTTGATATTTCCATACTATCCTATACTTAGCCAACAATGTCACAAAATTTAATTAATGGCCAACTTTCTGCCATGTTCCCTATTCTCGACAATTCAAACAATAAATGTCATCACTAAACTTCAAAATAAATAAGATTATCGTAGAATTTACTACTTCAAAAGGTCAATTTGCTAATAGTTTATCATGTCAAGTATAATACTATATTAACCAACTAAAACAAAAGTGAAACTTAAACTAATAAATTTAAATGAGTAGAAGACATAATTGTAATTCCAAACTTCATTTACTTGTAATGTTGAAGCTTTTCATGACATGAGTTTACAGATATGTACCTGGAAACGAGGGTAAAAGAGGTAAAGTTCAGCAGTAGCAGCAACAACAAAAACCCACAGAAAATGCCAATGACTCAGCAGATTTGAGCAAAACAACAAGACCCGTGAAACCCAGACGCACAGTA